AGAGCACGCAGAGTTCTCCTTAAGGTAAATTCACAGGTGCACACATACAAAATCAAAACCTTCGAACAATCTAGGAACTAGTGAAAACAATGATAAAAATGTAGCATATGAGTGGATCCTAGATCGCCAGGTCAATTTTCTCTACTGGCAGTATTCATGGTGCACAAACCCAGTGGCCAGTTTGTCAATTTTCTTTTTAGGTGCTCCAGGATCCTTTGCAATATAGCTTGTCTATGCTAATGTGCCTGTAAGCCCAAACAGCACAGTTTAAAGTGCTCAGCTCAATCCTAAGGAGAAATGATGTCCGGCCCAAAGGGGCACTCGAGGGATCTGCGTGAGCAGAATTGACACCACACTGCCCTGCTCCCAGCGTTGCTCCATGGCGGGTCTGGGACTGTGCTTCCCAAATCTGGAATCTGTATTGCACACAGGGTTACACTGGGTGGAGAGGGTGGCCTCAGTGTACAATCTTGGTGGTTGTCAGGGTATGTAAAGGAAATTTCATGTTAGATTTCACATTTAATTAAAACCAAGCTAAAAAATCATTTGACCAGGGACTAGAAACAATCCATAGCGTCTTTCACGCGTCTTAAAACAGCATAAGTCTCCAAAAAAGTAACTACAATTCTTTAAAGATTGAGGAGCACTTGGTAGAGGAGGCCTGCCAGTCACGTGTATCACAGTGGTTCTGCTAACCAGGAATCACAGTCTGATCCCTGCCGTCTGTGATGAGTTATCTTACACTCTAGAATATGCTTTTGTGTTAGGGAAAAAGTAAAGGTAAGAAAGAGAGAAATAGACACATGGACCCCTCTTCTTTCATAATATTGCATTCTGTTTAACCAAGCAATTCAATTTTTTATGAATATGTAGTGAGAAAAAAGTCAACATTTAATTTGAAGGATGTTTATCGCACTTTGATCTATAATGGCAATGAATGAATAAATAAATAAATAGGGGAAAACCTAAATGTCCATCAATAGAGGATTGGAAAAACACATTATGGGTGTATCCATTGAGAGGAATTTTGTGTAGTCAGTAAGTAAAATCATGCATTTAGAAGAATATGAAATGACCTGGAAGATATTTATGATGCCATTTAAGTACATCAAGCATGTTTGAAAAGCATGTTTAAGGTATAATCCCATTTTTAAAATATTTTATATATTTGTGCAAAGTGCTCATTGGAGCTACTTCTGGTTGAGATTATAGATGAAGAAACTGATGGTCAGTGGCTTAACTGATTTCTAAAAATTCAGATGGAAAGAAAGTGTGGGACTAGGTTTAAAATCTAAATATTAACATGCCAAGCTCCCAGGCCTGGGCTCTTTTTACCACATTTTGCTGCTTATGTAAAATCTGCATGAGATATATTAACTGGCAACACCATAATGGGCTTAGACAAAGAATTTAATTAGATTTAACCAAAAAGAACATTCTAAAAGAATTAAATATTGTATCTTTCTCATTTTTGACACTCAAATTATAGGATTTACATTTACCTTTGTTCTTACCAATATTTATTCTAATAAGTTACAGAGCTAACTACAAGATTGGTCAACTGATTTCAGAGCCAACACAGTCCTTCTGTTCAAATTTTCTCATAGAGTTTTCAAAACTTCTCCTGCAATTTGTTGCCGTTTCCAGAGCTTCCTCACAAGCCCAATGCACTAGCATAACTACCCCAGAGCAGAGGGGATGGGTCAGAGCAGAGGCGATGGGTCATCATATCTTTTCTGTTGATTCTGTTAAAGCTCTGCAGAGAATTGTCTTCACCGAAATAGGGTAAACTTTTCTCCAAAGAAGTTAGATTAGGTGAGTTCCCGGGAGTTCAACATTAACATTTTCTAATTTTATTTCTGCGTTTCTAGCCCAGAGCCAGGCTGATTTAATTTCCATGACACACAAATTAAGGAGAGGAGGTGAGTAACGCAGATGGCACTTGATTTATGAATTTTGATGGAAGGCATGGATGATCAACCCTCCTACCCTGTTTTTCCCCTTATTTCCTATCTGTCCTTCCTTAAGGTTTGTGTGGCAGGCAGGCGCTATGATAATTTAATGGTTGGAGAAATGGTGTCAGATAGGTGTCCATGGTGAGGAAAACGACTGTCTCAATTAGGACGGCATATGAACTTTGTCAAACAAGAATGAAGTCAATAAGAATAACACTTACAGGTGTGAGAGGACATAGCAACCCTTGAAAGACCTTAGGAGACTTCTCTGATGGCAAGAAAAATAAAGTAACAAAAGAGGAAATCACAGGAAATGAGATTTCTTAAGACAACAAGCCAAGGTGAAGGTATTACACAAATGTGAGTTATTCTTATCCCTCCAATGTTGGGCGTGATGGAAAGAAAATGAGTAATCTATAGACTAATGAATTTAAAGTCAGAAGACTTGGCTTCCAGTCCTGGCTCTAACACTCAACAACTGATGACAGTGGTGAAGTGGACTTGCCTCACTGTTTCCTCAATTTGCTCACTCTTAAAAGGGGGGTAACACCTGCCCACCTGCCTCCCAAGATTGTGAAGTACGTAAAACAACAGAACAAAATAAACAGAAAAGAATGGGTGTTCTTGGAACACTGTACAATGCCATGCAACTGTTAGCTGTTTATTCTAATTATTCTCTGAATAATTCTCTGCAAGAGTTTATTTAGTCTCAGTAACCAATGGAAGTTCCAACAGTGTTGGGAAGAGCTGTCTGGCAAAACACGTTTGACTCTTGTGTGAAACAAAGCAGCAATGCCATTTTTATAAGCCAGGTTGTAAAACTAACTTTGCTGGGACATGTAAATAAACTTCCCCAAATAGACACTAATTGGAAATGGACTTAGACCCCAGAGGAGGAGAGCATCCAGTGGCCAGGTTTATCTCGTACCAGTTGGAAGAATATCAAGAAGCAAGGTGATCAGTGGTGAGAGAAAGAACTTTTTGCGAACAAAATACATTTTGGGTTAGTGCCAGCTCCTTAACTAACTGTGTGACTCTAGGAAGATTATGTACACCCTCAGACCCTTCAGTTTTCTCACCTGTAAAATGGGTAAAATAATGGGTATAATAATACCACCTTGGAGGGGTGGCTTAAATTAACTTAGATAATATGAAGTGCCCAGTGCAGAGCCTGTACATGGCAGACACTCGATGAATGTGAGTCCTTATCATCTCACTTTTCCCAGTTCCTTTCCCGGTTTACATACTTGTTTACCTATATTTTTCCTCTTCCACTTTTTTCTTGAATACTCTCTTGTAGCCTCCCTATATTCACCAGAACAACCTGCACATAGGACTCCTTTAAAATGTTTATTTAAACTCCATCTTTTCTCCATTCTGTCTTTCTGCTTATAATAAAAGCATCCATTTTTTACCTTGTGTTAAAATTATTTTATTTATCCTGTAAAGATATCCCATAAAATTTATTATGTAAGTACTTAAAATGCCTAACACAACCGCTGACCCTAAAAGTAACCGTGACCTGGAGAAAGGCTGAACCAAGGGGAAATAAAAAAGAAACGAGAAAAGAAAGTTGAAGGGAACTTTAAATAGAAACAAACCATCCTAAGATTTAATGATGTATGGTATATTAATTTTGATTTTTGTATATAAGTAAATTTCAGGGTGGAAATTTACTTCTCAGGACAAATAAATAAATGTATCACTTGTAATCTATTGAGCTCTCTGATCTCAATTTCCTTACTCCATTTCTTTACAGTACTATCAAAACAAAGCATTCAATGAAAAATATTGCTTTTCATTATCCTGGATGGGAAAGGATTAACCCTAACCAGTTGTGTCTGAAGGTTATCGGAAATATGTTAGTATGTTGTGTGTATATATCTGTGCACGTATAAATGATACTCAGCTTCTTCAGTAACTCTAGGCTTTTTCCCCCTTCTCCTTAAAATGATGGTTGCCTTTCTTGGCCTAGAGTAATCCTATTTACCCAACTAAGTGTAACTTCCTCTGGGAATTCTCACCTTACCCATGTGATAGGTATTCCTCTGGAAATTCTCACTTTACCCTCCCTACCCTAACACCAAGTAGAAATAGTTTATCCTTTTCCTGTGCATTATAACACTTTGTTGACACCATTAGGTACCTTAGCAATTAAGGTCTATACCTTCTACATGTTCCTGAGACATAGCGCGATCTCTGGAATACAGTTGGTACTTGAGGTACGAATTTTGATTGGAGGTACAGATGATTAATCCTCTCTTCCCCTTATTTCCTATTGATCTTTCCTTAAAGTTGACAGTGTGCGTCAACGTGGGGCTATTTTAAGAGTTGGGCAAGTTGGTCAGATTTGGGGATGGTGTTGGAGGAAAGACAATGATTTTGCTTCCCCTTTCCATCTTCCTTAAGTTGCATTATTATTTTTAACTATATCACAGAAGTTTCCACTCCAATTTCAAGAATAATATTTTGTCAGCATTGTGTTAGAAAGGGTTGAGTTTGAAACAATTCTTAAACAGTGCACAGAGCACTGTGCAATATCCTATGGCCATTTTCTCCAGTAAAATCTTGGAGCATTTCTTTGACATTGTCATGACCATGGTGACTTATGAGGCATGTTTAGGAAAATTTCATATTAAAGTTCAGAGATTCCAATAGAGGCAGCCAAAATTTTGTGGAGTTTATAGTGTGATTAATTCCTGGAGTCTTTCATTTTCCAGCTCTTTAATTTGTGCAATCACATTGAACATTCAAAGTATATACTGCTTTTGAAAGTCTTTCAAATACTCTGCGCACAGTCACAACTGGCAATTCATAAATAGAACTGATTAACATTCCCCACCACAAGGATCCTTGAAGGAAACTAAAACCAAAAACCATATCTTCGTTGAATCCAATTTGCTTACATTTCAACACACATAACTCCACTTAACTGGCCATCACAGCAAAAGCCACAACATACACACACACACAGCAGCATGGAGCTAACCACACAACTCAACAGACAATGCAGACGAACTTGAGTATAAACCAAGATTTTTCTACCTCTTTTCATAACAGGTTAGTGCTGGCCCTCAGTGTTGGTGTACAGTTTTTATGGCATGGGAAAATAGGGATGTTTCTGCCCTATAAAATAAATGTGTTGAAGTCTTTAGTTTGAGCTTATGCAATGTCAGAAAGTTCCAAAGGCACTGCCACAATACAGAAAAATAAAAGAATTCCACAAACAGATATATCACCAAAACACATGGCAAGATACTAAGAAAACAGCGGTAGGTAAACTACTGTTTCCCCAGATGGGAATAGTTTTTCAACACCTTCCTGAAAAATAAAGAAGAGAGGCATGCTAGTGGGTCTGTGGTGGGGCACAGCTTCTCACCGACCACCATTCATACCAAGTCTTTGTCTTTAAACTGCTCAATAGGTCAGTGTCACCCTGCAGAAGCAGAAAGCACAGAACCCCCATTGTTCCGAATCTTCTAAGCCTTAGGAAGAGCTAAGGGAAAGAGCATAGAAACGCATGCACTATCTTTAATAAAGAAAGGGATACAGAGAATAAAAATGAAAATATAAAAAATAATTTCTTCATTTTATATATCGTAATATACACTTCTTTCCAAACTTTAGTTTGATACATGTAGTTTTTCACGTATAACATCTTTTTTATCTACTCTATAAAAGGCGGGGACAAAAAGATAAGTAGGAAGCACGAAGTTCTGAATTTGAATAAAGGCAGTACCTTCGCTGTTACGTCAAAGGATGCAAGGTGGGCTATGGGGCTAGAAACTGGGAAACTTTCCCAGTTGGACTTAATGATTCCTAATTCCTCAGAAAGTAAAACTTACCACATTCTGTGCAAATTTCTCAAGAGATGTTCTGCGATCCATTGAGTGTCCCGACTTACATGTGTGGGGTGGGGTCAGACAAAGGGAAATAGGGAACATTAAAAAAAAAAAAAAAAGAAAGCGAGGAAAACAGAGCAGAGAAAGAAAAAGACAGGATGATGAAATGATGCAACACAAATCCATGTTCTGCATCATGGGGACCACGAAGGCAGGAGAGTCCCAGGGAAGGCTCCTGGCACAGGACATGGGCTCTGTTTTCATTAGTGCTTTTATTTTTATTTTATTTTACTTTTTGAGGAAGATCAGCCCTGAGCTAACATCTGCTGCTAATTCTCCTCTTTTTGCTGAGGAAGACTGGCCCTGAGCTAACATCCGTGCCCATCTTCCTCTACTTTATATATGGGACACCTATTACAGCATGGCTTGTCAAACGGTGCCACGTCCACACCCAGGATCCGAACCGGTGAACCCTGGGCCGCCCAAGTGGAACTTGTGCACTTAACTGCTGCGCCACCGGGTAGGCCCCTAGTGCTTTTATTCTTAACACTAAAAACTCTCCTTGTGCAAACAAAATGATGTGATTTCAAGCAAAATCAAATTATACTAAAATGAAGTAGACGTGAAGTTTCATGCTGACATTTGCAATGGCTAAATATTTGAAAATCTAGTGGCAAATCTTCAGAATTTCCTCATAATTTTCTAGCAAGATTAGATTTCTGTTGATAACATCATTAATTCTGTAGAGCATTGCTGTCCAATAGAAGTTTCTGAAAGAATGGAACTTTCATTCCATGCTGTCTGATATTTCAGAAGCCTTTAGCTGTGGCAACTGAGCAGGTGAAATTTGGCTAGAATTTTATGTAATCTTAATGAATTTAAATTTAAACAACTCCGTGTGGCTAGTGGCTGCTGCGTTGGACTTTGCAACTGCAGAATAGCCATTTCTGGTCGCAAAGGCAAAGAACTTTGAAAAATGCCAGTAGCCTAAAGGATGATCAGGAATTACAAAAAATTACAATTTCATCTCAGAATTTCAAGTAGCTATGGACTATTTTAGCATTAGAAAATAACGAATGATGTTGATGTTGATATCAAGATTTCCATACGGTTATATTGATTACATTGATGTTATTGATGGTGAGACTTTGATTATAAATATTAATTGAATAATGAGGTCTACTTTGACTCTTCCAAATGTGTTTGGCTGCCATCTTAGGTGCGTAAAATTCATTGTGGGGATACTCAGTGATGCAGGATAAATGCCAAATGAAAATATTCAGAAGAAAACATTGCTATATTTTGGCAACTTATCATTAAAAAAATGAGTCTATTTTTAGTTTTGGGGTAGGTGGCCCAAATCATACATTCTAACTTCCTGGACAAAGCCAATCCCCATCAAGGTTTTGACCTAATGACATTTTCTTCTCCTTTTTTTATTGTAATTTTTGATTTCCTTAATCTAGGCATACAGAAGACTAACATGAAACATGAAAACAGCTTCTAGGAAACTTAGTAACCCATGAACATCTGCAGAAACAAACAAACAGAAAATAAGCAACCAACAAACAGAAACAAAAACAACTTAAATGGCCTTTATACAATGCGAAGGTTCGGGGGGAGGATCGTGGAGTGCGTTCACTTACCATTTGTCCAATACCCTGGGCCCAGCACAGGTAACTACTCCAAATAATTACAACTGAGAACTAGGTGAAAAAAGGTATAAAGCACCAATACCTTTTTCTTTGCCTGTAGAAGCTCCTGATAGGCACTGGATCTTATAAAACGTGGGTATGAGTCACTTTTCATCAATTTGTAAATGTGCTCCTAAAAAGAAATAATGGTTGAGGTGCTTCTTTATTATTTCTCAGGAAAAATCAAATACTATGATGAGAATATAACACATCGTTCCAAAACAAATCTGGAAGCAGTAAAAAATAATAATGCTGATGGTAATGAGGATACGGTATGTTTACATAACATTTAGATCTCCAAATTTATTATTTCATTCATGGATCAATGTCTAAACTGGTTTGGGAACCATGGAGCATGGAAACCACATCCAGTCTTAAAAAAAAATGGGATTTGGTCGACAGCATGTCATGAGGGGATTTTAAATCAAGTTGTTGATTTATACAGATCATTTGAGAATATGAAAAATCTGCTATCTCTTAAAATTACTCCAGACCAAAAGTGAGTGATGTGACGTCAAGATTGAGTAATCATCCAGATACCTTTGGCATCTACATGTACTTGGAGGGTGCAGACTGCCCAGATGAGTCATCTCTTTGGTGTAAATTATATGGAAAATTGTCATCCACATCGCTTTGGGCCAGAGCACAAGCCCAAAATTAAATTTTGTGACATTTAATGGCTAACTCTCCCAAATTGTGTGCTTTTTTTTTTTTACTCGTTCAGAGACAGAATAGGTAAATACTTAACAATTCAATCCTAATCAGTCTGCAATGTTCTATTTTGATGATGAATATTGGTAGACAAAGAAGTAAAAAAAAAAAACCAAAGTATTCATCCAATTCAGTGCTGTTGACCCAATCCAGAGAGATTCTGCTCTGGCCTACTGCATCTCAAGGGAAAGGAAACACTCCTTGGTCTTTCTAGTCCAGTGAAATATAAGTTAAATGTAGAATTTTGAAGTATTTGAGAGTGTCCTGGATTTCCCAATCTGTTCTAGTTTGGAGAAAATATTTATTTTAAGAAATGACTCAGTTTCCCTGAGACTCTAAGAGTTCTTCTCGGTGCATCTCCAAGAGTACGGTGCCTCTGGAACTGTGTCAGAATTTGTGGGTGGGAAAGCAGAGCAATGTCTTGTTTTGGAGTCAAGCATTTTGGGAATTCAGATCCAATCTTGCTCAAGATCTCCCACTTACAAACATGTAAATTTAGACCAGTTTATTCATCTCTCTGAGTCTAAATCTTCTCATCTATAAAAGAGAGTTGTGAGGATTAAAGAAATGATAAATGTTCAGCAAAGTGCAGAGGTGTGCATAACAGGAGCTCAAACATACTTGAGTATATGCCAGGTACCCTTCGAAGTGCTTGCTTGTATTAGTTGATTTAAGCCTCCCCAAACCTCAACGAGGTTGGTGACCATTATTACATCCATTTTTAAATGAGAAGAAACTGAGGCACAGAGAAGTGAAGTACTTGCAAGAGGTCACAGAGCAGAGCTCAGACTAGAACCCAGGCCATCTGGCTCCAGAATCTGTTTTCTTTACCAATACATAATGTCTTTTCTCAGACAACGGCAGGAATTTCTATTCTTATATATATATATATATATATATATATATACATATATATTTTTTTTTTTTTTTTTTTTTTTTTTTTTGAGGAAGATTAGCCCTGAGCTAACTACTGCCAGTCCTCCTCTTTTCTGCTGAGGAAGCCTGGCCCTGAGCTAACATCTATGCCCACCTTCCTCTACTTTATACGTGGGACGCCTTCCACAGCATGGCGTGCCACGTGGTGCCATGTCCACATCACACCCGGGATCAGAACCGGCGAACATCGGGCCGCTGAGAAGTGGAACTTGCGAACTTAAGCGCTGTGCCACTGGGCGGGCCCCTCTATTCTTATATTTTTGAAGACAGGGTTAAAAAACCTACAAAAAACTGGAGTTAAGTATCTGAGCTTAATTGAAAAAGAAACCTATGGTCAGGTGGTAATGTTTTCCATAGAATATTTTTCAGTGACATAGACAACAAGGAAATGTTCTTTTTGAGACTTCAGGAAGATCGTTGAAAACATTTTACATTGCCAGCTCTAGAAACATGTTTGAAATTTTATCTTGAAATGAAAGACAGATAAATCAGCAGAGAAGTAAGGCATAGTGCCAGAATTTTCATACTGTCCTCTCTCATGTGCCCCACAGGATGTAAGTATTTCCACACGGAAGACCAGGGACGAGCCGGGGAGAAAGGGTATCTGTTAGCTGTTTTAAGCTGCGTTAGTTTTCTACACGGTGGCTCGTTTCTTCAAACCCAAACCAAGGAGGAATGTATTTTCCACCAAGAATGAAAATAAGGAAGGATGTTTGTGTACTTCATTCTTCATCTTCTATATTTTACTTTAGTAACCTTGTTATTTAAAAAACAAGATACTTTCTGGAACTAATATTTTTCTCTAAAAGAGATTTAAGAAATTATGAAGTATGCATGTTCTGATTTAAAAGCCAGTTTCAACACACCAGTAGGACATAATATCCTCTCATTGTAAGTTTATTTTTCTTCCTGAGCACAATATTTTTTTTTAGAGAAAGTGGAAATTCAAATTGTTTCTATGGAGGCAATTATGTCCAGTGTGAGGAAAACAGCACTTAAAAATTTGTCTTAGGAAGTTAGTATCTTAAGAATTTCCCTTTTTTTTCTTTTCGTAAACTAAAAAAGTAACCTGGAAAGCTAACAAATGCCTGAATCTACAATTTCATTTTATCCTCAGAGACAAAACTGGTTTCAATTTGACATCACTTTAAACTAATCTAGTTTAGTTCTGACTATTTGTAATAACGAGTAATTTACTGTGTCAGAATCTTAGAATCTCCATATTGGAAGACACCTTAAAGGTTTCAAATATGTGTTACCGAGGTGAGGCCATCCTTGGATAAGTGTTTGCTCACATACTGGGTGACAAGCATAGTAGAAAATGAAGTAGAAGTTTTCAAATATTTCAAATATTCCCCTTCAAGAAATTTCCATGTAAAAACATTCAGATTTACACAACATTCCCATGCTTTCAACACTGCTCACTTTCAAGTGTCTCTGTTCTCTTCTAGGGCAGAGTTATTTTACATATGGTTACCTACACCGAAAACATTAGGCACAGCTGCAATTGCAATCAAAAGAAAACGAAAGCATCTCAAACGGCAACTTCCTAGGAGCACATTTGTGACAGTGCAAGGCCCACCTCTGTACCAACCTGCGCATCTTCGAATGTGTATCGTCCGGGCTCCTTCACATTCTGCGTGGTTTTGTCATAGCTCTTAGAATCCAAGTTAATGGCACTGGGGGCACCTGGCGCCAGAAATTCTTGCCATATTTCCTGAACTCGGGAGGGAACCTCTCTGATAGGTCTTTTCTTCAGGTCCTCCACTGCCAGCCAGAATCTATGCAAAACGTGACACCACGAGTTTACTCCGATGCCTCATAATCTGAAAATTCTTATAAGATTCACTGATTGTAAAACTCACGGTGATGAATGATAACAAACCCACTTTCTCTAAGGGCTTCCAAGACCAGGCCTTTGCTAATTTCTTCATTAGTTGTATTCAAAGATATAAAATCTTTCAGAAGGTAATATCAAAAACAGTCTCTTTTAAGTGGTTGCTGTTAAAAGCATATCTGCCAGAACCCCGATTCTATACAACCCTTATCTCTCCTGAAGCCAAGCAGAACTGCTGAAGAAGCGTCTCTCAGAAAAGACGTTTCAGGGCAATGAGGGTGAGTGACACAAAGCATCTGATCAGGGGGATAAAGGAGCACATTATACTGTATTCTTTCGATCTTTTGTCCATTTGAGCTATGAGTGTTAGTATGGAGAGGATTTTCTGCTCTCCCTGACAAGAGGATTACAGCGAAGCTTTACTGGAATGAAAGAGGCCTGGATACAAGATCAGAAAAGGCCTGAGCTGGAGAAATCAGGGCACGTAACTAATTTTAGGCTATTTAATTTGGTTATGGAATGACAGAAGCAGCAAGCTTTCACATGCAACTCTTTGAAAGGCTTAAATTTGCAGAGGCATCATAGAAATTTAGAAGCTCTGGAAAAAATACCCTGGCTTACTTCTAAATATATAAACATATTTTATACACTTCTGTATAGAGCATATATGCTAAGAGGAAGGAACACCAGAACCTGATACCAGCAAATAGCAAAGTCTAATCGTAAGGGGCCACGTAGCATTTATGGGTTTCATTTCTTTCAATCTCACTCTATTATACCTTTTTGGTTAGACCTAGAAATAATGTGGAAAAGATAAATATGTATGTCATAATAGTTTGTTAAAACAAAAAATACTTTAAAAGGAACTACTGGGTCTACGTTGTCCTCATCAGGGACTGTTATCACTCTAATGGTAGATGTGACCAAGGAATGGAGAAGATGACCACAGAGACGAAGATGCTAGAGAGTCTTAAGAGATGTACAAGGTGATAAGCAGTACCTTCATAACTATTAACCTCTAGCTTGGGCATTAATGACAGGTCAGAAATAAGTAATGAAGCATTTGAACTAGAATAAGAATATCAAACACAACTCAGTCTAGCGATTTCCCGGTTTCTAGATGTCATTCTCCTGTAGATATATGTAAGAGTGGATAATCCAATTTGGACAACGCTTTAAACATGAAATTACCATTATGGCTTTCAGAAGGGAAGGCTAAGACCATTTTCTCCTAAAATACAGATTTCAACACTGTGCAATCTAAAAGGAATGCCATGTGCAATCTGAGGGAGCCTAAGTGTTGTAATTAATGCTCATTCAATTTCATCCCAGTACGCTTCCACACTTCAATCAAAAGAATGGCTCTGCTCTCAAAGAACTGGTAGAAAAAGTGATACACCATTCAAATGGTCACAATACAAGGAAGCACGTGAGGGGCTCAAGAAATAGCACAAACTGGACAGTCTGGAAATGCAGAGTAGGATAGAGCCCTTCTGCTGGGGCTCTGGGCTGGAAAAGGGAGTCTAGGAAAGCTGTTACAGATGCAGTGACATCTTAAGTGGATTTGGAAATACAGATAAAATATGAAAGGCTTGAGGAGGCCATAGTAACACCTACACTGATACGTAAGTGCAGGCACTGTTCTAAGCGATTTGTTTATATTAACTCACGCAGTCCCTTCAACTGAATAGAGTATGTGCTATTATTTCCTCCATTTTAGAGAAGAGGAGCCTGGGGATACGAAGATTAAGTTACTTAAGGTGGCCCACTATAAGTGGCAATACTGGGGTTTGCCCCGGATGATTTGCAGCAGACAACATGCTCATAACCACGCCCTCAAATGCCTCCCTAAGAGCATCGGTGCCTTTCTTAACCTCAGCATTGTAATAACCGTTGTAATAGCTTAGCAGAATGGAAAGGGCCACCCCACTTATTATGTGGGAATATATATTATATTATATTTGGAAGTGTCTTCATGTCTCTGAACCTCAATTTCTTCATCAGTAAAATGGGATGATAATGTCTATCTCACTGGGTTTCCATTAGACTAAATGAGATAAATTACGCAAAGGGAACTTTGGAAGTGTCTGACATTTTTAGGCACTCAACCATAAAAATCATGTTATTACATTTACTTAGTCCTCACATTAAGCTATGTGCTTTACCTGAAAAAGGAGGGAGCAAAAACATAGCAATGGAGAGCGGGGGCTCTATTTGAGGCATAAATACTTTTCAATAGCAGTATTTCTTGACTTTTTTTCCTGTCTTAACACTTGAAGAAAATGCTCATGCGAGCGCGGCACTTCCATCAGCAGCAGGTGCTTAGAGGGCTGATGTTTAGACTAGATGTCTGGAGACTTACTTAAGAGCAGTTAGCTGTCAGCTAACTGGACCATCTTGTCTCCCTCAGTCTGTGTCACTAGGTACCTAGGCAGAAGCAGGCAGGCGCAGATTTGGGGAGGAGTGGACAGTAGCTTGGTATCGGTTTAATAGAAAGCCTAGGATGCTGATTATTACCAATCTGACTTGGACAAGATGCTTAATTTCTCCAAGACATATTTTGTTTCTCTGTAAAGTGGGGCAAGAATATTTACACATTTCTGTTGTGATAATTAGATGTGTGATAACCAGAAAAATGAATACAAAATATAACGCAGCATACTTACAAAAGTAGTGGATATAAAGCATATTATGGCATATAGTAGGTGTTCGAGAATTATATCTATATCTTTCTATCTATCTATCTATCTGTCTATCTATCTACCTGTCTATCTATCTGTCTATCTGTCTACCTATCTATCATCTATCTATCTACCTATCTCTGTATCTATCTTTCTATCCTCTATGTACTATCTATCTATCTATCTATCTTTTAGGGAAACATATAATAGGCATGTGGTAGATACTCAAGAACTGTATATATGTGTATATACATGAAATCTGTACTATTTATTATACGTAATTACTTAGCAGGGAAACTAGTGTGGCACAGCGTTATCGAGATAAGAAACGGCTGAGGCTTGATCTAGTAAGGCAGCAGTGATTCAATTTATTCATGAAACAGAGCTTGCACATGCTCTTCCCTCTGACCGGAAGCTTCTTCCCTCTTCCTTTTCCGCCTGTTGTCTCCTTGTCACCCAGGTCTCAGGCCAGAAGCCATTTCCCCCAGGATGCCTTTGCTGATCTCCAGCTCCGGGTTGGCCAACCCTCTGTACTTCTCTGATGCAAACACCCGTCATTTTGTGTTGTGATCTGTTTTCTTCTCTGTATTTACCACTAGACGTAATTTTAATGAGATGGGAACCATTTTTATTTGGTTGGGTGATACTGGTGAGGCTCATTACTTGTTTATTTCTTCATCATGATACCCATGATATTAGCATTTTTTCAAAAACTTAGAAAATTAGAGGGAACTCTACCTCTGCATCCACTAAAAGGCTAAAAAATCCTTTATCTCTGCTTTTAAAAATGCATTCTTGTACTCAATAACTGATGAGGGGTCCTCAATATAGGAAATGTTATTTAACAGGCCCAATAAAAATGTTTAGCAGCTGTGGATCTTGTGAAAGCCCTGTCGAGAAGGGTTCCCATAAGCTTGAGAGAATAGGGAGCTCCATCCCAATAAGCCATGATAAGCACGCATAGATAATTCACTTCTTCCAGGTTCTGTCTGTGGTCATCTTGCTTAATCCATGGGACATCTGCCAAAGTTCTACATATTTCCAAATGGTTTGGTATGTGACACTACTTGGCACTGCTTAGTTCCAATGAAAATAAACGAATGCCGAGACCTTTCCGGAGATGAATTTCACAGGACTGCCTAAGTCTTGGGAAAGCAAATTAGGGTATCGTGTTTCAGAAGAATAATGAATGAAAGAGCTCATGGAAAAACAGTTTTATGTAGTGGAAAGTTATCACTCATTTCAATGATCTTAAATAGAGTCATTAAAATCTATTCCAGTGTCTCACATTTAAAAATTCAATTTCCAGGTGCCTCAAGTTAGAAAAATTTCAAAAATATGTTAGGATGATGTTTACAACAGATGGGCAGACAGTGCACCCCTCCCTTACTAACAGCTCAATGCTGCGCTGCTCTCGGATGCCCTGAGGCTGCGTTTAAATGTGCAAAGTCAATGAGCTACTCCCATGGTTTTGTCCAAGTTATTTGACATGAGCATCCAGTCTCTTTTTCTAGATCTTACTTGAGAAGTGATATGCAAAGACCAATATTGGTAAATAGGTGATATTTTAATTTAACTGCATAAACATAATTGGCTATTCCCACTCTGCCAAACCTGAGTCTAAGTATTACATTACACTTCTTTATGGAGTCCTTTTCAAATGCACCAAATTTATTTGGTTAAAAGATCAAGAGACAGTGTAAAAATATTCCCTTATAAGGAATTGATAATGTTGGACAGGCTTTGCCTCCGTTACCTTTCTCTCCTCCACCAAGTGGCAGAAATTCAGTGGGTTCAGATCATCATTGTGATGTTGGGGGAGAGTAATTGGTCTATTAAGTCCAAAGTAACCAGACACATCACAGGTAGGTCTCCTGGTTTACAGTGTAAGAGCTGAACAACACGTCTTACCTTAAGTTTTCTGAGCTGAATTCTGACTCTAGAAATTTAAGGAACTGTTCTCTCCCAACTGGGTCTTTCAATGCTTCATCCATGCCAAAACCCCATCGTTTTACCCTCTGCTGGCTTGGTTCTTTGCTATAGGAGATAGAACAAAGTCAGATACATTCCTTTCATTACAAGTCCCATTTTCTGCTACTACATTTCCCCTCAAAATTATATATGCCTTGAAATTCCCATCTTTAACTTATCTTTCAGGAAAAAAACCATTCTGATTAATGGCTTCACATGAAATTGTAGTAAGGTATAAGTTAGGCATTGATAATAAAGTGCAACGTTTCTTGAACATTAGGTGCTATGTGCTCTAGACAGGTTCGCACTTTTAGTTTTTTCTGCCACTTTATGAGATAGATGCTGTATAATTCTCATTTTATGGATGAAGAAATCAAGGTGTAAGGAAGGTTATAACTTGCCACTGTCAGACAGGTAATGAAGGGCAATGTTCCAGACATTCTGACCCCAGAACCCAATCTCTTAATCACCACACAATGCAATCTCGTGCTGTGTCATAGTGGGGGAAAACGCATTGGGAACCAAAAGGCCTAATCCTAGTTTATGACTCTGCCATTGATTAAATGTGTGACGTAATCCTGGCTGACTCACAACATTTGGGGGTTCCAGCTTCCTCATCTATAAAATCTAGAACTTAAGGATGAGCGGTTCTGCACTTGTCAAGCATTTACGAACCACTGGATGGATGTAAAAGAAAGAAAAGGTCACGAATGCAGTCTAGAGAAGGGCTAAAGAATACCAACCTCTCACTCTGTGAAGTGATATGCAGTGATCTTTTTATGAATCTGACAACGCTGATGATCTAATTTTTCACTTTTATAGCTCATGGAAGAAATCAGGGAGGCTTAAACTGTGCTTTGGTTTTCTTAAGAAGTCAGTCTCTTGTCTGTTTTTCTTAGGGTGTTTATAATAAGTCCACTCTGTTAAAATTGAGTTTATAAAGGCATACCTGTATTGGGCTTAAGTAAGTATGAATTTAGCATTCGTTTTACTTGAATACATGGATCTTTGTGGCTATTTGGATTTTCAAGGAAGCTAAAAACAATGAACTAAATTTCAAGAACTGAAGTTCTCAACTCCGATTAGTCTTCCAAGAAACATTTCACCTCCAATTTTGTGCCAGTCCTTCTGGAAATGCAAATCTTAATACAAATGCAAATACCTACATTTCAAAAACCATTACCCTGAGCAAGGAATTTATATCATGGGCTAATGTAGGTACAGAGTAAAATCACCTTTAAAATGACAATTAATCAGGTATAGGATTCTTCTTCTTTCACCTAGACTCTGAAATAGGTGAAATATTTGGAAGGAAAAGAAAATGTCACTTACCTTGCTTCAAGTTCCCAGAAGGTAGTATCATCGGACAGCCATGGGTTAGAAGGGTCAGGTGGCACAAGAAATGGGTCATATTCTAAATACTGTTCCGTGTAACTTAGCAGACTAGAGAGAAAAAACATTTTCATTTTCCTTAGTTTTCTGGCTGACGTTATACCCAGTCCAAGGTAGGGGACAGAATCTAAAAAGGTCTGGCCAAAGAGTGGTTTCTTGTTTATAGAATGAAATCCAATGGCAGCTTGCAAGTTTCAATAACTTACATGCATCAGCTTATTGTGTTTCTTGGCAGACAGATGTGGCTGAGGATTCCATCTCTCTCCATGCCTAAGCTATATGAGTCAATATCCCTCCGTTAAAATGAAGCAAAATGTAAGAGGTCAGTGTGTGAAGGGCAGTGCTAAGGGTCAGTTCCAATCCTTGGTCAACCTGTCCACCCACAGCTGAACTGATTTAAGCCAACTTGGAGAATAGATTAAAAGGGAACTTTTAACAAAAGTATTTACAGAAATAAGAGAAAAGAGGAATCACTGACAAAGGTTTTTGTTGTTGTTGTTAGGAAGATTGTCCCTGAGCTAAAATCTGTGTCAGTCTTCCTCTATTTTGTATGTGGGATGCTGCCACAGCATGGCTTGATGAACGGTGTGTAGATCCATGCCCAGGATGTGAACCCATAAACCCCGGGTGACTGAAGCGGAGCACACAAGCTTAACCACTACACCACTGGACCAGCCCTGACAAAAATATATATTTTTTAAAAAAAAGAGAGAGGAGAGGAAAGAAGTTGAGGGTTAGGATTTGGCAATGCCCCAAAGTGAAGAACAAGAATGCCATTAAGAACAGATTTAAATGAAGAAAAGGAAAATATGTAAAATCTCAATTTAATTCAAATTCTGAAGTCATGCAGTAGCTGAGTAATGTGAATGTTAAGATGAATTTGCAGAGGCTCTAAGTTGCCAAAAGGGAATCTGGTAAGCTAAAAGTTTCATTTCTCCCAGCAGGAGCGAAAAGATTCAACTCCTCAGAATGGTCTTCTGTATCTGATTCTGGTGGCACAAGGATTGGACCACTAGAGATTTAAGACAATAATGATCATTGTGTCATTTAAGCTACAACACAAGAGGTCTTTGAAAGTTTTCTATGTACAGAAAACAAAAACAAAATATTTCTTATGAGGTTCCAATTATTTATCTTAGCTCCCCTCCCAACAGGTCTCTTACCATTTTTAACACATTTGTCATAAAATATTTTTCATTTATATAGACATCTTGAAATACTTACCTATCAGCAACTTTTGACATTTTTAACCGATGTCTATCTAACTGTATTTGCCAATATTTTATCTGAAAAGAGAGGTAAAGAAGAAGTTACATAAGCAATGACATTCTCACAGTTTTCTACTCTAAATTCTGATAGACTGGGCAATTCTAAACAAGAATATGTTGTAAGTCAGTAAAATTCAAAAATTTCAAAATCTATAAAAAAATCAAACCAGAGGGATCTGAAAGAGTCAACAAAAAATTAAGATCTGTTTGAATGTAAACATAAGGAATATCACTTTAGAACAGCAATGAACTCGAACATTCTGTGTGGTTTAATAAAATGTAACTTTAAAGTATTATAGAGATTTTAAACATTTATTCATGGTGAATAACCAAATCAGAATCACATTTACCTCTCAAATATTGAATTCAGAAAATAAATTTATTCACTATTTGTTACCATAATTTCAAAATAAACCCTGCTTCCTAATAATATCCCAACAAGGCATCAATGTTATATGTTTTGAGAATAATTTTATCAACATTTCAGGACAAATACTCACATGGACATAATCACAAATGGAAAACTTTAATTTAAAACTCTCTAACTACTTTTCCTTCATGGTGATTATAAGTATACTAGAAAAGTATGTATTACACTATCGATAAACTATTTTCCTATAAAATATTAGGGGAAAAGAATGGGAAAAGACTCATGACTGAACCAACCAAGATTTTTAACTATTATTTGATATGAGACTAGTGTTTTCTTTGAAATATTACTTGAAGACAAAACTATTGTTCAATTGGTGAAGAAAAGAAGTGATATCGATCAATTGGCGAAAAAAGAAGTAATATATACCATGACTGTATACCACTATTGATAACGGCAAACTTCGAGAGACTTCTAGAGATCAGTGCAGTCATACCTTGCTTAATGACGGGGATATGTTCTGAGAAATACATTGTTCGGTGCTTTTGCCCTTGTGAGAACATCATAGAGTGTACCGAAGGGGAACAAAATGTGCCACCCCAGAATGTGTCTCTTTAACATGAGGATTATTTTAGGCTGATTATTTTTAAGAAACCAAAGACCCGGAAAGTTTTTCTTGTTACCTCTTCCTTAACTGCCTAAAAGAATTCAGTTAAAAAAACCTGTCTGAGAAAGTGAGCTGTCGCATTAGCATAACATGAACTAGGTGGTGGACAGGGAGGAACCTAACATAGCCTGTGGGTTGGGCTCCTCTCTGTGTTCTTCTGTTTCTGTGGCCAAACACTTGTTTTCCAAACGTTTGCACCTTTTCACTTCCCTGTGAATTGCCTTCCTTCCCTTTGAAGTCCTTGACCCTCCCTACCACAAATATCTTTCATCTTTAGCTGAAGATGATATTTAAGGTGAAGGCTTTGGCCATTTTGGTGAGTTATGTGGTATTCCTGGATTTCTCCCACGTATATATGTTATTGAACTTTTGTTTATTTTTGTCTTGTTAATGTCTCATGTCACTTTAATTCTTGGACCAGCTGGAAGAACCTAGAAGGGTGGTGGAAAATTTCTTCCTCCCCTGCAGTACTTACAGAAACCTAGACAGTATAGCCTACGACACACCTAGGCTATATGCTACTAATCTTATGGCACCGCTGTCGTCCATGCGGTCCATTGTTAACAGAAACGTCATTATATGGCACATGACTGTACTATAGAAACAAGGATAAGAACTCTTTTGTGAAGATCACGTCAGATTGTTGGGTATGGAAAACATGTGACTCAATGTCACTGAGCTCTTGTCTTTTCATTTTTTAAGACAGAGTTCTGGTGTACAAAATAACTCTTGATATTGGAGGCATTTATAAATCAGTGTATGTGACTTTTAAAAATTGGTTAGGAGGAAAAGGATTGGAGGAATTAAAGAATGAAGAGTTTTGAAAACCATCTCCATATATTGATACATTTTCAAGTGACTACATATCTTAACATTAGACAATTACATTACCTTTTAATTGTAAATCTCCTATATGAGAAAGCCAACCATACAAATAATTTTTAAAAATACCTGCTATCAACATTCACCATCTGGTCTTCATCGCTACTTCTCTGCGAACCACTAACTGTTCATTTTATAGGTTGACCCACCTGTTGTTGTAACTCATCTTCTGTGGGAGCTTTAGTTTCTGGCGTGGGTGTGTGGGTAGGACTGTGACTTCTAATATCATTTTGTAAACCATAGACAGACTACAGAAAAATAAAAAAGAAATATGTTACAATGAACATCATATGCAGTCACAGACTTCCTAAAAGGTAATTTTGTGTTATATGGTCAATAAGGTAACTCAAAGCTTTGCGGCATATTTGATTAAGCTTCTTATCAAAATTCAAAAGGCACTGCTATCATAAATATCGTATGAATGTAAAATAGAAGCACTGCTCTTTGAAAAAAATATGTGGTTAGATTATTAATGTTGACAGAATCATTGATTATACAGAGAGAACACTGTAAGTGTGATAATAAAATCTGGGGATGGGCTGACCGTATGAAGCTGGGGAATGACAACACCAGTTGTCATCATTTAATGACATCACTTAAATCAACACTTAATGAGTATTGATTTCAGAATAAAAAGAGGTAGATACAGAATACAATAAAAACTTAATAAACTGAAAGAAGATAAAAGTAACCTGATCCTTACATAGGAAAGGAACGGAGTACTGAGGAGAGAGACTAGGTTAAGAATTCCATTGCTGTTTGGTCTCCGATGGTGTGACCAAGGACACCTCAGAGTGCTCCTACTTTCCCATCTCAGCGTGGTCTGTTTACCGCACAATACCAGCCTTGCTGTTGGTGCCATTCGCGAACATCAGCGAGCCCAAAGATTTCACGTATCTTTGGAATTCTTGATGCCCCATTGTTTCTTTACTATTTTGTCAAAAGATCAAACCTACTATTTAGGAACACTCTTTTTGAGAAGGCTCATTGCTTAGTAAGTATAAATAAAGATCTTGGAACTTAATGAGACAAAAAACCCATCCCCAACTGAGGCTGAGACATCCAACATGTCAACTCAGAGGAGAGGCCAAATTGCTTTCTCTTTAATATCAAAGTATTATTACTTTAAAATAAAGATTTTAACATGTGCTATTGAGCGCTTTTTCTTTGGACATGAGGATGAAGGATGAGGATGTAACAGAAGTGCATGAGCTCACAAAATTAAAGTTACCAGGTAGGTTTGGAAAGAAACTTTTGAAATCAGAAGAGGGGAGGTCCTGATGCTTAAAGGAGCCAAGTTTCAGGCCCATCACCAACCTTACCAGTATCTCTAAATTCAAACGTGTTTTGTTCCTGACCTATTTTCACTTGGGCCCTATCTCTGCTTAATGTCAACCTTTTGGCTCTATGCCTGGGCTCTTTGGACTCAGTTTTCCCCCCTCGAGTCTCCCCATTAATTGATTCTTAGCCTTTCCTTAACAGATTTTGACTTGGGTTTAACCTATCTGAACCATCCAATTCAGACTGTCTTTGGTAGGTCCTTCAATTTCCCCTCACTTGCCCCAGCTCCAACCTCTTGGAACTCAGTTCCCGTCACTGGGCTTCCATCTGACCCAGGAGTGGCACATACGCTATGCATTAATTATTAACAGGACTAAAATGAGGGGCTTGAACTTTCTCTTTTCTATCTTTCACAGATTCAACATGTATTGAACACCTACGATATGCTGGATATTGTGTTAAGAATTAGGGATACAGTAGTAAACAACGACAGACATGCTCCCCCTCCATTGGAACTCGCAACCTAGTGGAAGGGAAACACATTACACAAACAACCACACAAATAAATATGTGATTAAAACTGTCATAAATATTAGGAAAGAAAAAAATAGCAAGAGCAGAGGGCCTGGAGTATATAAATTAAGGAGACAATTTCCACTGAAGGAACAGAAATATCCTATATGGACTCCTACTCCTAACATTTGAACTTCATTAAATGAAATAACCTTCTGAACTGTGACATGCCAGTGGAGGTTGCTTTTCAAAAACTAGGCAAGTGAAATATGACCAATTACGCCCAAATTGTACTTTTCAATGTCTGCTATTTTTTCAGTTGTATCATACTAATTTTTGATAAAGAAAATAAAAAGACTCTAAAGCTCGAACTTTCCATTTACACTTACTTTTCTTTAAGTACTTAAAGTTCTTTAATAAGAATCTATAGTTCATGTAATAAATGCTTATAAGACAAGATAGATGACAGTTTTAACAGTAAGTCTTTTGGTTAAGATTAAAAAGAATTAACAAGATTGCTAGAAAAATACCACAGATTATGGTGTCATAGAGGTAAGATGATCCGTAAGTTACCGTCTATCTCTAGATTGCTAGATTGAACATTCGTGCATTCACATGGGCTTCAGGAAGTGCTATGTAAGTCCCAAATTCCTGGGGGCATCGTGTCAGGTGGCCTCCAGCAGCCTGGCTCTGGGCTCTGAGGGGGCTGTGGAGTTCCCATTTTTTGTCTTACACGCAAATAAACATCGGGAGTTCTCTCTTCCACCGGTCAGGAGCTGTGCATTTCCTGAGGACCGCTGATAGCTTTTAACTTTGATTCCTGGCTAGAGTGAAAATAGCCATGAATAATGCAATTTTATGTCCAGAGCTCATTTTATGGACAAAGCAGGTAAGGAAATCGAACCAATTTTGGCATACAAGTTATGAGGATGATTTGCAATGTAAAAAGCTTTGCAGTCTTTAGAAAAAGGAAATGTATTAAAATATTGGCACAAGGTGGGTGGAATAGAGCTGGCAACAGGGAGGACGAGAGAGGAAGAGGAATGAAATTATCTGAATGTCTTAAGATTTGCAGCTGGGGAAAAAATCAAGTTAACTAATTTGGATCCATTTTGAATTTTAATAACAAAACTAATTACTAAATCAAGATGCTGTGACTTGATTAATGCATTCTTTTATTCCCCATGGTGCCTAGATCAGCACTTTTCATACACAGTATCATCCAAACAAATACTGGACAGGCTACTCATTAAATAAAACGGACTTGACTTTCTACATAAATCTGTTACCGTGTGATTTTCCTTCATATTTTAAAAGTGATCTAAGGAAAATTCTCTCATATTTTGTTTTGGCAGGGGGAGGGGGCTTTAAAATGGAAACTTTCTATCTCTGGAATTTTTCTGACTGGGATGGTGGGGAATATTTCTCTTTCCTCTGGATCGCTCAGCTCAACCAGAGAATAGATTGTGACCGTGTCTGGTGCCACGTGGAGGAGCCAGTACAGAGAGAGACCACAGAGACTGGCGGGGGACTGACAGAGCTGCGACGGTGTTCAAGCCCCTGGCTGTAGTCAGACCCAGGGCCAGCTCTGCCCCTGCCTATTTCCAAGGTTTCACGATATTCTCCTGTTTATTCAATCTGGTTCGAGCAGAGTTTCTGTTGCCTGTGACTCTACTGTACTCCTTAGTTCAAACACTCATGTTACTCTAGCATATGAGTAGTTCACCCTGTCATGTAACACAATTAAAACTTAAATTTACACATTTTGCCTATGGAAATGCCAATCTTTTTATGTATAAACAGCTATAGCCACTGCATTACTACCAGGAAAAATAGCCATCTAATCATGAATTTGCCAACTGTTTTTCCAGGATAGGCACATTTGCTGCTTAAAATATTAAGTGCGATAGTGTGCACATGAAGGTGACAGAGGACAGAGAGAGAGACGGGACACAGTCCACTGTCGTTCTGAAACAGGGGTTCTGAGGTGACAGGAAACAGTGCAAAGCAGGAGTTCAATTGCATTTGCACATATGCGTTTGTCAGATTCCTCAGGTCTGCGTTGTGTTAGGATCCCCCCACTGTTCTCACGTAGAGGGGTCCAACCTGAGATCGTTAATTCTATGTGTCGACTTGGTTGGGCCACAGTGCTCAGATATTTGATGAAACATTATTCCGGGTGCTTCTATGAGGATGTTTTTGATGAGATTAACATGTAAATCAGTGGACTTTGAGTAAAGCAGATTGCTCTCCATAATGTGGGTGGGCCTCATCCAATCAGTTGAAGGTCTGAATGGAGCAAAAAGACAGACTTCCTCCAAGCAAGGGGGTATTCTGTCAGCAGATGGCAGTTAATCCCTGGGGCTCCAGCCTGCTGGCCTACCCCATCAGATTTTGGTCTTGCCAAGCCTCTGCAATCATGGGAGCCAATTCCTTAGAATAAATCTCTCTCTCTCTCTCCATCCTGTTGGCTCTGTTTCTCTACAGAACCCTGGATAGTACACGGCCTGACCCATTATGGTTAACATTTTGGAAACGGACTGAAGAAAGTAAGGCACTCAGTGTCCCTTACTTTTTGCCAAGATTCGGCCGATTTCTTTCTGGCTCTGTTACATTATCATCTCTCATAGGGACTGGAGGCAATACAGATTGCTTATTATTTTTTGTACTTTAGTAAAGACAGATTTTAAAAGATTTAAAAATTGACTCATCCAAAATTCTTAAAAATATTTCAAATCAGATAGACTTCTAAGCCTTCTCTTCACATATTTGGTAAACGTTTGAAATTCAACAATTAAATATAACATTCCAATGCCCGATATTCTTCAGGTATATATGCTTGTTTATTGAGTCAGGAGTTTAGTGGTCCGTTGTTCTTGTTATGATATAATATTACAAGAAATGTCATTACTGCTGAATCCCAAAGAGATGAACAGCAGCTCTCTAGCTAAGGACAGTATCTGTTTTCAAAGATGAAGCAGGGGCCAGGGGCTCTGCCCCCTTACCAGCAGCAGTGTAAGACAGAAGGGGATCACACAGCTAAGAGAAGGAGCAACGGGCGCGGCCCAGCTCACAGCAGAAGGCAAAGGCAGTTTCCAGAGGTGGTCGGCTGGCCTGGCCATTTTTGTCTGGGGCTTGCCATCCCACGGACTGCCTGTCCCACAGGGACAGAGCTGTGAAACTCAGAGAATGACAGAACAGTTTACTGCTTGTCGTCAAGGAATTCACTGAAACACGATGTGGCAATTTAGAAGCTCAAACCACTTAACGTCCCTTAAAAACATGTTATGAACCGAGTCGCATTCCTTCAAAACTCGTGTGTTGAAGCTCTAACCTCCAGTGTGATGGCACTTGGAGATGGGGTCTAGAAAGAGGGAGTAAAGGTTAAGTGAGGTCATGGAGTGGGACCCTAATCCTATGGAGCGGGAAGTGACAGCAGAGCAAGCTCTGTGCCCTGTGAGGACACAAGAAGGTGGCAGCCTACAAGCCAGCAAGAGAGCTCCCCCCAGGAACTGAATTTGCCAGCACTTGGATCTTGGACTTCTAGTCTCCAGAGCTGTGAGAAAATAAATTCCTACTGCTTAACCCACCCAGTCTGTGGTATTTTGTTTTGGTAGCTGGAGCAGGCTAATATATAACACTTAACAAAATGAGGTAATTATTTATATGTGTGGATACTTGTTTGCGTGTTCAATGTGCTCATTCTCATTAGACCGTGAGTGTGGGAGCCAGTTCGCGCTTGTCCCACTTACTGCTGAAGACCTGAAGGCCAGGACATGCCTGGCGTGAAGCAGGGACTTGCTAAATCTGCTGATTGAACGGATCGTCCCAGTTCCTAACCAAATATGAGCCAAAGTAGCAGTGGAAATCATTCTAAAAGATAAGCCAGGATGTGGCTTAGAGTCCCATAACCTTCTATGTAAAATAATGTTAACTGTGATGATTCTAGCAAATTTAACACTTCTGACTATGAGAAGCTATATTTATCCACAGGTGAGAAAATCAGTGTTCTCCAATTCCTGAAAACAAGGGCCTGCAGGCTATGGCTGCGCGTTCTTCAGGACTCCCGCCGTTCTCTTCTTAGCGCTAAATAGCTCGGCTGTTAGACCCTGTGCTTCCACCACTATTGACTCCCAGGAAATTAGGGAGCAACCTAGACAGACAGAGCTCAGTGATGCCACCTCTCCACAGCTTTCACCTTCTATGCCTCACGTGTTCCCATCGTTAAATGAGGGCTCACGGTACGTGAAGAGCAACACTGCCAACTAACGCTCGTCAAACGCCTAATGAGAACAATGCCATGTGAAGCATGGGCAAGATATCAATCCTGAGCACAGTGTTAAAAAGAGAGTGTAAAGGACACTCTATCATCTTTAAGTTCTCTCTCGATAATTCATACTTTCTCTTCTGAATCGGAGCATATCTCAGTCGGTGTCTGCTGGGGAAACTTGACACAAATTAAGGTATTACGAAGAGTAATTATTCAAAATGCAGAAAGTATGAGAGGCGACAATGTACTTTTTGGACAGCTGACCGCATTTTTGAATCTTCTTCCAGAAAGCTAGGCCCTGGTGCGGTCAAGATGTGCCGCGTGAGCAGAGGATGAAGGGAACTGAGTAGGATCTGTCACTGGAGACAGGCTTGCTTTGGTCTGGCTGTGCCTCTTTCTCTCAGAGAGTTCCTGGGGACAGAAGCTTTCGAGCACTGCATCTGAGTGGGGTTTCTGGCACTTCTCCTGTGGTTTCTTTACCCTAACATCAAGGTAAACTGCCTTCAAAGAAAGAAAAGTTACTCAGACCATATTTGGGTCTTTGAACATGATGCTGATGTTTTCAGGACTGGAAGAAAAAGATAACAGAAAATAAGACTACAAAAAAATGTTTAGTGCCTACTACAGGGACACATACCCTGGAAAATGCTGTCACTACATGAAGAAAAAGGCATCGAATAGAAGATCTTGAACTTTGTGCAATGTTTTAATCCAGTGGTGCCAACCTTGGGCTGTGTCCTCAGAGGGGTGCTACAGGCCAGGAATTCTTATGTATATCAAGCATCTTTATGGAAAGAATAAAAACGCCTTTTTTGTGTACGTGCTACTTTAAAAAATATGTAGGTACTACTGCTAAATGTTTGCAAAAGATTATTTAAAATGCCACTGAATTCTGTATAGCTTTTTTGGGTTATGTATTCCCCCACATAACAGACACTGATCATAAACCCCTATCTTACGGTTGTGTCACAAAATTCTGATGTCAAAGGGGGTCCTTATACAATATCTGTAGTTAAACATCTTTACATTGTCCATTTTTCCTTAGACTTTTCTCTAAAAATGGCTTTCTCTCATCAGTATCACTTTTTCTCAGATATCTCCAACCACTGTTCCGCATCCTCTGGGCTCTGAAAGGGATGCCTTTCTCTGCTGATGACTCTTCTCTCTGATGGAGAGAAGAGGAGTCCTCAGCATCCTCACCCCTCTCCTGTCAGAACTGGTCCGGTCACAGCTACCTGCGCGCCTTGGGACCTGGGCGTGCTGGAGGATCAGGATGGGACTATTTCCTCAGGAGAGAGGGACTGACAGGAGAGCAGAGCGTGATTTTCTTCCAGTCAAGTGACAAAGAGGAACAGGGAAGATACTAGAAGATACCCCATGAAACAGGAGAAAGTATTTCATGACTGACATCCTCTAAACAGTGCAAGTCGTTACCAAGATCAGCACAACAAACGTCAATGTTACCTTCCGTGTTTTGTGTGGGTTTCTCATTCTGGAGGACTTCTTAATGTCCACTTCAGTGGTATTTACACATCCAGGCTGGAAATGGAAAAAGAGAGAGACAGAGGAATCTTTGGGTGTGAAGTTTTGGATCAGTGCATTTTGCTCCCAGAACCTGAGCGTGTGCTGTGATTGCACAGGTCACTGAAAGCTCTTTCTAAATGGCCACAGCCACTCTCTCAGCAATAGCCAGTAATAAAATACATCACACTCTTCTTCTTCACACACGAAAGCCTTCACATACCATGCTCCAGTAACTTCCAGAGAAACGGGAAAAGAAATGCACGGGCTTCACATGTGAAAGTGAGTGTTGATATTATAGTGTGCAACTGGCCAGGGATCCAGACCTTGTTGCACGCCCTAGTAGTAAAGGGCACAGAGGTTCCCAGAAGATTAGTAGGTGGATGGGAGCTTGGGACAAAGGCCACAGTGTGCAGGGATTTTACGCTGGGAGCAAATGTGTAGAACACAAATGCCAGCAGTGAGTGCCCAGAAATTGTGTCGACCATTGAAGGCACAAAGCTGAAGGATTTTTTTCCCCTCTCATAGGGATGTATCTGATTGCAGTACCAAAGAGAATTAGAATTTTCATCCTCAAAGTTAAAAGAGTATGACTTTTTAATCTTCATTAATGAGCCATTAGCAGACATCTAAAGTTCTACTTAAACCAATTATTAACACTATTAATCAGCAAATTAATAAGAAGGTATTGATCCTAAAAGTAAACATTATTAGAGACTGAACCCTAAGACAATGTTCCATAACTCTGCTCCCATCCCAGGCAAATAAAATCGGCCAGTTCAAAATTTGTTCCTAACGGCTAAATGGTTAAATACTAAACTGGCTCTGGGATGCATGTCTCAGCGGCTCTCCAGTTTCCTTTCATTTAAAAGAGCCTCTTAGGACAGCTAATGGTTAAGCAGATCTCTGATAGCTAACTTAAAGGGCGAATTCTTTTTTTTTTTTTTTTTGAGGAAGATTAGCCCAGAGCTAATCTTCTGCCGCCAATCCTCCTCTTTTTGCTGAGGAAGGCTGGCCCTGAGCTCACATCCATGCCCATCTTTCTCTAGTTTATATGTGGGACACCTGCCACAGCATGGCTTGCCGAGCGGTGCCATGTCCACACCTGGAATCTGAACCAGCAAACCCCAGGCAGCCGAAGTGAAACGTGTGAATTTAACTGCTACACCACCAGGCAGGTCCGAAGAGTGGATTCTTGAAGATTAAAAAAGGTTAGATGTTGGGCCAGCCCTGGTGGCCTCATGGCTAAGTTCAGTGTGCTCCACTTCAGTGGCCCAGGTTCAGTTCCTGGGTGCAGACCTACAGCACTTGTCTGTTTGTGGCCATGCTGTGGTGGCGGCTCACATACAAAAAGAGGAGGATTGGCAGTGGACGTTAGCTCAGGGCAAGTCTTCCTTAGCAAAAAAAAAAAAAAAAAAGCTTAGATGCCCAAAGTTGTCTGCTATATTTCTGGATAATTAAAGTCGTGACCTAGTTTTTGATAACCCATGAAATAACTGTATTCAGAAATCAGGCACTGTGGTGAATGAAATACAGCAATACTTTTTCAAATTTTTTATTTATTTCTGCATCTAATTGTCAGATCTTGCAATAAATGGTGAGATACAGAAACAAAGGCATGATCCATACCTCAATGATCTCCTAATATACTCAGGATGACAGACATGTGAATCATCACCCTGTAGGAGCACAGGGCTGAGTAGAAGTTGGCACAGGGCGTTACACTGCAACAAAGCATTTCATACGTCCATTCTGATGTACATTCTGTTGGTTCTCACCAACACGGCAGATATTTAAAAAAATTTTTTTAAGCAATTTTGATCTCAATAAGACCATCTTGTCCTTGGTTAGTTAAAGAAGTCAGTTATATTTTGAAACATGTATAATATGGACCACTAGCTGGCACCACATCCACGTGAAATATTAGGCATAAATTGGTTTTCTGTACTACCGAACATATCTTCCCAATAAGATATAATTAACGTTACCATTACCAAGTAGGCATTCAGTAAAAATGTTCAAATATGTGCTGTTTTCCAGGTATAATAAGTACTAAGTATTAGTGGATTTAAGGAATAATAAAGTGGTATTTACATTGGCCTAGAAAAGAATCATAAGTTATTTCTAGTGATTCAAAGTCGAATCTATGTTCAACAAAACTAAGCTGTGTTGTAACATTACCATCATACCATTTATTAAAAAGTAGAATTTAACGCCTTGAAATCCATTCTTGAAGGAGCAAAAGAAGCATAGGCTTGAGAAATATCCACTGCCATAGTGTTCATCTAAGTGTCTTAATGAGTTGCAAAACTGGAGCTGAAATACTTGGTTTCATTATTGATATTTAAAAGAATTTAACGCCATTTAGTCCCTTGCATGGCACAATGCATTTTCATTAGTCGTAGCAGAAGGCACGCTTGTGCTCAGGACGACCTGGGAGAATGCAAGCGCTCTTGGGCCAGAGCGGCACTAGGACACGGTCATGGGCAACAGCTCCCTCTACACTCAGTCCCCACGGCTGGCGTGGAACCGGGCACAACAATCCCCGAGACGACGAACGAACGGAGATGTAGGAATGAGGTGGCACACAGAGCGGATGGGAAGAGAGATGCATACTCCTGGAAGATTTTATAAAAGACACGATTCTAGGAGAATCAAAGGTTTGAATATATGTAATTATTCGTTCAAATACAATTAAATTACTGGAAAAAACTTGTCCTCTTGTAACACAGTACAAGTTTTAAAAATTCCATTTGTAATATATTGTACCTCAATTAAAATGATTCCTTGCCCTTGCGTGAAGTGACTATAGATTTTAAAGTGTCCAATCTCAGGATATATTTTTTTAAAGATCCAATTAAAGCTTTCCTTTCCGTTCTTGGGCACTTGCCAATTGATTTAGCCTTGATCCTCTCAGCCCTGCTGACCCCTGCACTTACTAAGTGCTGCAAACTAAGGAAGCTGTCTGAGGCAATTACTCTGGAATTCTTCTCATTCACCCTTCTCCATAATATTCACTCATTCAGTCCTACTCAGTCTTATTTGCTGGCTACAGATCCTTGCCGGTTATGTAATCCTGCTTCAATGGATGCTATGAACGACTTCTGAACGTCAGGAGGCAGAAGGGAGGGCACTGCAGCAGAGGGGAGGGAAACGCCCTGTGACAGTTCAGAGCCACAGAAAATGGAAAGTGGTTAGGTTAGGTGGAAGTGGTGGACCCTGGTAAGGACTTTGGTTTCATTCTAAACATGAGTGGAAGTCACTGGAAGGCTTTAAACAGGGAAGTGACTTGGTATGATTTCTATTTTAAAAATTCACTATGCCCTTCACAAAAATTAACTCAAAATGGATCAGAGACCTAAACGTAAAATGCTAAACTATAAAACTCCTGGAAGATAGCATAGGAGAAAATCTAGGTGACTTTGAGTTTGCTGATGGCTTTTTCGATACAACACGAAAGGCATAATCTGTGAAAGAGACCATTGATAACTTGGACTTCATTAAAATTAAAAACTTCTGTTCTATGAAAGACACTGTGAAGAGATTGAGAAGACAAGCTATAGGCTGGGAAAAAATATTTGCAAATGACATATCTGATAAGGACTGTTATCCAAAATATACAAAGAACTCTTAAAACTCAACAATAAGAAAATAAACAACCCTATTAGAAAAGATGGGTAAAAGATCTGAATAGACACCTCACTGAAGAAGATCTACAGATGGCAAATGAGTATACGAAAAGATGTCTGCATCATATGTCATTAGAGAATTGCAAATTAAAATAACAATGAAATACACTACACACTTATTAGAATAGCCAAAATCTGGACCATTGACAACACCAGATGCTAGAGGGCATGTGGAGCGACAAGGACTCTCATTCATTGTTGGTAAGAATGCAAAATGGTACAGCCACTTTGGAAGACAGTTTGGCAGTTTCTTACAAAACTAAACATACTCTTAGCATGTGATCCAGCAATTGTACTCCTTAGTATTTATCCAGAAGAGTTGAAAGTTATGTCCTCAAAAAAACCTGCACGTGGATATTTATTGCAGCTTTATTAAAACTGACAAAACTTCATGTTCTTCAGTAGGTAAATGGATAAATACACTGTGGAACATCAAGACAATGGAATATTATTCAGTACTAAAAAGAAATGAGCTATTAAGCCATGAAAAGACATAGAGGAACCTTAAACACATATTGCTAAGTGAAAGAAGCCAACCTGAAAAGTCTACACATTGTAGGATTCCAACTAGACAACATTCTGGAAAAGGCAAAACTGTGGAGACAGTAAAAAGGTCAGTGGTTGCCAGGGGTTGGGGAGAGGGAGAGATGAATAGGTGGAGCCCAGAGGATTTTTAGGGCAGTGAAACTATTCAGGATGATACTATGATTGTAGATAGATGTCATTATACATTTGTTCAAGCCTGCAGAATGTACACCACCAAGAGTGAACCCTAATGTAAACTATGGACTCAAGGTGACAATGATGTGTCAATGTAGGTTCATCAATTGCAACAAAGGCACCACTCTGGTGAGTGATGCTGATAGTGGGAGAGTCTGTGTGTGTCTGGAGGCAGGGGGTACATGGGAACTACCTGTACTTTCTGAGCAGTTTTGCTGTGAACCTAAAAGTGCTCTAAAAAATAGTCTAACAACAGAAAGCTCACTCAGGAGTATAAGTACCTTAGGGGTGAGTTATCACGGTGGGGTCAGGGCAAAGGCGGAAGCAAGGAGATCAGTTAGTAGGTTATTGCAATAATCTAGGCAAGAGATGATGGTGATGGAATCTGCATGTCAGCATTGGAGGTGGTGAGAAGTGTTGCATTGGGGATACATTTTGAAGCTAGAATCAATCAAACTTGCTGATGGATTGGGTCAAGGAGCATGGGGAGGGAAAGAGAATAGTCAACAATGACGTCTAGTTAGGGCAACAGGGGGAGGTGTGTCATTTACTGAGATGAGAAAGCCTGGGAGAGAAACAAACAAAAACAAAGAGAAGAATCAAAGATGG